ACTAGTTGTGCATTTTGTAGAAACCTAGATGAAAAATTGAAGTGTAATCAATCGCATTGCTGTGTAATCATTTTTCCCGATTTAATATCGAAGGTCCAAAATCATGATGGTCAACTTATTTCTATCTTTAAATATCTTTTTCAAGATATTGATAACTTACATAGAAGTACTCACTAATAAGTTTTAGCACATGCAGGCAGGCCCTCATGACTATGATAATCGGGATATAGAATGAAAGGCATATCATTTTTGAAGGTGTTTTTAAGACTACCTACTTTAATGTCATTATTGTGTATCCAACATTTTGACTATAACTTGAAGCTGATGGAAAACATTCCAAAATGTCCCAAAACGTTTGAAAATACCGTCAATTTCACTTATACTATATTATAAGTTTTGGTAAATCATTTTTTAGTCAGACTATGGTGCGCTTAGGGACACCAGTATTAAGCGCCTAATAAATATTGTGTATTATTATTATTATACTATTTGACAGGGGCTATATAAGGGATGATGTGTTCTACTTTGAAGGCGTCATACCCAACTTAGTACTTCATGCTTGTATTCATTTGGATGATAATACTGAAGCCTGTCATTCCTTGAAGCATAACTGCATAATTATAATCCGAGTCTGATGTGATGTTTTTTAGTGACGTAAGATTCAGTAGAGCCGCCGGGAAAAGGGGACCGGGGAGGGGTGTGCCCCATAGCCGTCACAAGTCTATTTTGGTAAACAGTCCGCCTACAACATTCTACGTTTCAAGTTTATTGAAACAAATCCACAAGGTCGGATTGTCATCAGACACGAACAAAATACAATTAATACATTAGGACAAAATACATACATTGGTACACGATTGTAAGTAAATTGAAGGTAATTTAAGGAACATTACTAAGTCTTAATGAAGTATGACAACCAAAAAGAGGGGGAATTTTTTCATTTTTGCAATTCAATTCAATTTATTTTGCCAAGCAATAAAAAACATGCAGGGTAAAAAAAAAGCAGCAGAATAAAAGTATCACACAATTACAATTACTAACATAGATAACCACAGGAAAACACAGAATCAATTTAAAAAACATGAATACAAATCGTTAAAAACAGATCGCTTAGCTAGGCTCGTAGCAGTCAGAATGTAGGTGTTCCTTATATGCGGCTGACCAAACATAAACAGCCTTATAATTTAATTTAAGCTGTAATCAAAAGTAAACAAATAATGGCATGTACAATATCATAATGAATTTAACAACCATTGAAGTCTTTAGAAAACATCAATATACATGTAGGTCCATCAAATATTTTTTGTATTTACTTTTGTATTTAAATTCAATTCACGTATTTCGCGAGACATAGTACTCCATTAGCAAGGTCCACTACATTACTGTACGTTTATATGAAGTCGTATGTACATTTGGCACGTGAACTTATCAGCAGTTCTAGTACTCTAATTTCTACCTCCTTTCCCCCCACTTTTTTGGTTGGGGGGGGGGGGGGGGTGGGCAGTGGCGGATCCAGTCGGCGGCAAGAGGGGGGGGGCAATCCGTGAGAAAATATTTAGTTGCGACTCAGCCAGCCGGTGAATAAGGGGGGGGGGGGGGGGGGTGTAAGAGGCACTTTTTTTTTTGGGGGGGGGGGGTCCAATTTTCTTTTTTAACCAGGGGGGGGGGGGGGAGCAGGGAGGCTTGCCCCAGGTGTTGTCCTAGAATGTAGATGTAGACCCAAAATATGGACTTAATTAATACAGGCAAAATAATTGATGTTTGGCAATGTCTCTATGAATATAAATGTACATGTAAATTTATTTCTATTTGCACGTCAAATCATTAATCATGTAGGCTTTAATATTTGACAGGTTTTATGTCACTTAGGCCTGTATAGACCTACATCGCTTCTAATTGCTATCAATGAAAATTCAATGTCTTTTGTTAGGAATTGCATGGCCAAAATTGAAAAATTATGAATACACTCGGCAAATAAAGCCCTTCAGCGAAGGGTATTTATAACAGTACATTATAAAGCCATATTGTACTAGAAGCACTACTGCCAAATTCCCTCTAGAGCTATCTCAGGTCAGCTGTAATACCATAACTCACTGCTTCCCGAACTGCGCAGTATATACGCTAGTAAGGGCAGAGAGTTAAAGGGGCACACGTTCCCGAGTTCCATATCGCTTGACAAACTCACCAAGAACTTTAGATAAACTGACAAACGTATTACCAATTTAAACAAATTATATCAGGCTCAAAACAATCCTTTCTTTACATTTGATTTTGGATTTTTTTTCTTTTTAAAATAAATAAACTCATCGCGTTATTCAATATTATTGCTCTCGACTTTGCAAAGACATACCGGTAACAATATATATATATATATATATACATACATAATATAAACAATAGAATCAAAAAGAAAAATATAACTGATCATACAGGACATGGTGGTATACAGAAAAAGCAAAACTTAAAGCAACAAAATGTTTTTCCACCTATTATCATATGATAAAAATTTGTTATTTTTAACATAAATGTATTATTGAAGAGAATGATAATACCTAACATGCATTCAAAGATTTTAGCGGTAATACGCTATTTCTAATAATAATAATAATAATAAAAACGGTGCTTATGAAGCGCTTACCACCGAAAATATTATTTGGCATATAAAATAATAAAATTAAATTGAACTCCAACGTTTCCATAAAATCCAAATAAGAAATTTATTTTATTCAAAGTAACTTTATCCTCTAACAAGGGAAACGCTCTCGGCGGTCTCGCCTGCATAACGCAATTCAATATGATAAACCAGAACGTCAATGACGTAGCGCTCATCCGCATCTCACAACAACAAATATCGTAAATTTTATGTGGTACACTTTTGAACTGGTCAAAAAATAGAAATTTGATGCCCTAGAAGGGACATAATTTCATTTCATTTGCATAAAGTACCATAAATAATCAATGGAGCAAAATCTCACAATTCTGTGTAGAAGTTTATTGTTCCAAATTTAGCTCTACCAGATAAGGCAAAAATCGGTCAAGAAATGAGGGAAAAGAAGCAATTTTTGTTATTTTTGGAATAAATTTGCATAAATTACCATAATTAATTAATGGAGAACAATTTCAAAATTCTGTGTAGAAGTTTAGTGTACCAAAGTTAGCTCTACGATATAAAGCAAACCAAATCAAAATCGGTCGAGAAATGAAGGAGAAGAAGCCTTTTTTTTGTGATTTCGAATAAATTTGCATAAATTAGCATAGATAATGAATTTCACGATTCTGTGTAGAAATTTTAAATCCCCTCCTAGCCCTATCATATGAAACAATCAGAATCAAAATCGGTTGAAAAATAACGAAGAAGAAGCATTTTGAAAATCTTAATGTTGATGCCACAACAAAGTCTAAGTTTGTTGACCTTAAATGGCCTTTGACCTTAACTTAGTGGCCTGAAATTCTACTCACATGATTGGGGAGACTTGATAACCCTATAGTCCAAGTTTCATTGACTAAGAACTTATACTTTCAAAATTATATCAAAAATTCAAAAACTTAACCTTAGGTTAAGTTTTCGATGATGATGCTACAACATAGTCCAAGTCTGTTGACCTGAAATGACCTTTGACCTTGACTTTGTGATCTGAAATTCTACTCACATGATTGGGGATACTTGATTACCCTATAGTCAAAGTTTCATTGACTAAGAACTTATACTTTAAAAATTATACCAAAAATTCAAAAACTTAACCTTAGGTTAAGTTTTTGATGTTGACGCCGTCGCCGTCGCCGTCGCCGCCGCCGTCACCGGAAAAGCGGCGCCTATGTCTCGCTTTTTGCTACGCAGGCGAGACAAAAATGGATTTTGCATGTTACAATAACGTGTAAACATTACGAATCATAATTTTTTGTCTGCTATGTCACTACATATTTACCCATCATATTGCTAGCTTTTAAATCAATTCAGCACATGTCCAGTGAAAATGCCAAATCTGTCAATTCACCTGTGCCCATTCAATTTTCCTAGATAAAACACTTCATAAGATCTTCTTTTTACAGATCTGACATATTTTTCTTGCTGCGGCAATAATGTAGGTATAAACTATAGAGCACTATAGTCACTATTGAGTGACTGACCGACATTTTTTTCTTCTTTTGTAATAACATGCATAAAATCAGCTGTAAAGGTACATGAACATTTGTCTACATCAATAACACACTTCTTGCAATGGCCAAAATTAAACTGATTGAATCTTTGCGCAACACAAAACGTATGATCATTCGGTACAATATAGGGTCTGAAAATCAGACTATTACTAAAATTATTGCAATCACTAAAGTCGATTTGAAAACTAATGTTCGTTATTTTCCCACTAAAAGACATTTTCGAACCCTTCCATTTTGAGGGAAGTTCTAAATTAGTATTATCTTTCAAATGCCGTTGGAATTTAACCTTTTCATTTTTTTTGGCCTGCAAATGGGACATAATACCTTTAAGTACAGGAGGTTAGAACTTGTTTCCAGGTTTTGGGAGCATGAATAACAGGAAAAGCCCTTTCACCCATCTGTTGACTGGTTCAAGGCACATGCAGAAAGTGTTTTACTGCTGGTTGATCATGCATTATACAGGGATGCCAGTTAGAATTGATCAGAGGGCCTGAAAATCACCTAGAATGAGCTATTTTTTACACACAAAAGCAGAAACTATGGTCTGAAATTAAGTCGCCAGGGCCTGCATGAATTCAGGCTATTGCCTGAAAATTGGCATCCCTGATTATACTGTGTACATTCTGAAACAAAATCCTGGATTTTGTTTCAGAATCTGAGGCAAAGTTACCCAATCCGTTTAAATGTAAGCTTTAATGTCAATTCTCAATAAAAAAAAAAATCGGGACCGTCAATTCTATCTCAAGACTGATAAAGTTGTTTTCTTTCAATAATCTTATTATGTTATGGTCATATAAGAGAGCGCTTAAGTTAGAGGCCAACCTGCACCAGGCAATTGTATACTAATCAGATGGGAATCTGGGATACTCGACTAGCATGATTTCTTCAGCAAGTTCGAAAAATCCGGCCCTGAAGATCTTATCATTTTTAAGTCTTCGAGAGGTGAACTTGTCGATGGTCATGTTGAGTACTGTTGTCCTCGCAGGGGTTTTGTCGAATTGTTCAAGCCAGTTGGTTACCCATACCCCTACACCTTTTGCTGTTTTGCTGCGACTCTTCTGCATCAGTTTATACTGTCCAATTTCCCCACAGAGTTTTTTCAGCGGATCAACATCAAGACTGTTGCAAATACTTTCTACAACATCGGAATTGACATTCAATGTCCGATATTTACCTATAATGGAAGGAAAAATAGCACATATAATAAAAGGCCCCCTTTTCTGGGTTTGTGAAAACAAACTTCATTCTGTCTATTATGCAATACGATATGCTTATTATCAGTGGCGTAATGAGCAAATAAAAATTGGAGGTAAGAGCACATATTTTTTTTTGTTGATCCAGTTATTGAGGAAAAATTTAGCGCCAACTCAGCCAGTCGTAGAATAAGCTGGGGGGGGGGGGGGGGGGGGAGTGATGGAGAGAAGAATCACTATTTTTTTGTCAGGGGGGGGGGGGGGGACATGCTTTTTGTTTTTGTTTAAAAAAGGTTAAATTTACGTTATCTTATTTTTTTTACCGTTTTTTGTTGAAAATCATGTGATATCACGAACATTTATAAATCACTTTTGGAATTGAAAATAAGTCATGGTTAAATTTTATTTGGGGGAGGGCAAGCCCCGCCCCCCCCCCCCCATCAGTGTGCCAGTGCTTATTATGATAGGACCTTAACAGCTAGGGCACATTGTATAAGTAAGGGCTACTCCATAATGAAGAATCTCTCGAGTAAACAGTGCTACAGCCAGGCGCGGATCCAGGATTTCTTAGGGGAGGGGGCCCAACTTTTTTTTTTTTTGTTCCCGCAAATTTGAAAATCGCGCCGGCCGAAAAGTCGCTCAGTGGGGGGGGGGGGGGGGGGGGGGGGGGGGGGGGGGTAAAGAGCACATTTTTTTTTTTTTTAAAATTTTTTTTTGCTCCCGAAAATTTGAAAATCGCGCCGGCCAAAAATTCGCTCAGTGGGGGGGGGGTAGTGAGCACATTTTTTTTTGATCCTCAAAAAAATTTCAATTGCACCCCCCCCAAAAAAAAAGCTAAAAATCACGTGATTTTACATGATTTTTTTCTCAAGGGGGGGGGGGGCCCGGGCCCCCCGGGGCCCCCCCCCCCCCCCCCCTGGATCCGCCACTGGCTACAGCAAAGATTGAAGATAAATGATTGCTTTGTGTTTTCCTGTACAAGTTTCACTTGGTATGTAAAAGTATTTAGCAATATATTTAATTTCTACAATGATTAATTTTGAATTCTGAGTGTTCCTTACCTGCCAGAACATCATAGGCAATCTTAGGTTGCTGAATAGCTTTAAGACCAACAGCTAACTTGAGTCTGTAGTGAAAGGGCTCTGTCCTAAACTGATTTTTCCACACCATTATCAGCTTCAAATTGTCGTATGGTTCCTTTGTTCCTCGCACAACTGATCTGCCAGCTTTGTCGGCCTGAAGATGGTCCAACAATCTTTCCATTTCCTCCTTCTGCAATGGTGAGGTGATGTTGCTAAGTTCGCTGAGGCTTACTTCGTAACCTTGGTAAATATGAACGTATGCAGCTTTGTTTAAGAAATGAACTTACAAAACATGATGAAAACTAGAGCAGATATTGTTATGTTGTCTATTATTGAAACAGAGTTGAAAACAAATTTTCTGGAAATATGACGGATTGGCCCTATGTTTGTTTACATGCTAGATAAATTAAGATGATATCGGCAGGGAGATGGGGTTGAAGTTCTTTAAACCCAGCATAAGTTACCTTAAATTTACGTTAAGTTTAATTGGCTAGGGCCGGGTTAAAAATGATAAGGAAATGTCTATTAACCCAAAATAGCCCGGGGGGGGGGGGGGGGCTTTAGAAGCCCCCCCTCTACATTTTTCGCGATAATTTTTTGACGCAATAAAAAAATGGCACTGGAATTTTAAGACTGTTTTCTTTGGAGTCTTGCGCATCTTTTGACAATTTTTTTTTTAAAATCGGACCTACCGTTACAAATTCACGTGACATTTTGTCTTTGCATGTCAGCCCGAAAATCGCAAATTTTCGTGATTTTCCAAAAAAGAGATAAAACATTGGTTATTTGGTCTTGTTGTAGTTTAGGTGTTTATTTTGGGGACAAAATGGTTAAATTATAGAAATGAAATAAAACAACAAAAAAACAATAAAATACATAATTAAGTTTAAAAAAACAAAGAAATACTAAGGAATTATCAAAACAATAGATAACATAAGGAATAACCTGGCTCTTCCAAATTCTGTTGTTGTATTATTACCCCAAATGGTTTAAAGAATATATGTAGTAAAAATTAATGTTTAATGTGAAGAATATATGATTTATGGGTAAAAATGTGAATTTATTACCTTATTTGCATAAATTACCATAAAAATGAAAATGAGTGGATTTTTCAAACAAAATTGAAATTACCATAGTATTCTATACACTTCACTTGACATGCATGCAAATTTTCACGGCCGAGATCATAGGGGGGGGGGGGCCTTAGAACCCCCCCCCCCCCCCCCCCCCCCCCCCCCCCCCCCCCCCCCCAGGGCTATGCAGTTTTTAAAAAGCCCAGGCTAGATAGGATTAAAGTAATGACAACAGTTGGTGGGTTTTTTTAATGCATGTATCCAATTGAGTTAGTTAGAAAATTGTGAACCTTACTAATTTAAATTAAAATCCAATTCTTTATGCATGTTTTTTAAAACTTTTTTCTTACCGAAGAAGGCTAATTGAGCAGCATCCAGATATCCAAGATTCCCCAGTGAAACACAGAAATCATGACGCCGATACACGTCATCATCCTTATATTGATTCAATAGATCTATCAAAAGACCAACAGTTCCCTTATCTGCTTTCTGAACTTCCTTCCGTCTGCTCGTGTCCATACCGAGAAGTGTGGCCAATAGTTCAACATCTTTGTATAGAATGTTGTATGCCAAACGAACCACCTCAGCCTGGTATACATGATGAGGAGGCAGCAGGTCGACAATGCATCCTTAAAGAAGAGAAATACGTGTTAGCCCAATAGTACAGTATACGTTTATCAAAATTAGGAAGTCTTTAGTCATGTTAATGATATGCATTGGAAAGTTGTGAAAAAAGTTGTCTTCTTCAGGAAATAATATTCCTGCTTGCTTGATTTTTCACTTCAGAATAAAGGCGTCTCTTAATTGGAGATAATATCGCTGTGTTTCATCATGCAAAGTTTTAGATGTTGAAAACTATTTTCTTTGGGAATTATAAGGTAGCAATACTCCTTCCGGTGTCTAGAGTATTTGAATAGTGGATTGGCGCTTACAAATATTATGTATCATCATGATTGCGTTGTTGCCTTTAAAGGGACTTGGTAACATATTGTTCAGATGAGAGAAAATGGTGCTAAATTAAGGTAGTGACTTCAATGCTAGATGTAAAATTAAAGATAATCTGAAAGTTTGAGTGAAAACAGGCCATTATTAACGATAACAATTAGGAAAAACTGATCTGATTGATTCCTTAATTCTCCCAACTATATTATTACAATTCAATTACATGTTAGGTGAATGTAAATCGTAACATTAAAGCTATGAATTGGCTCTGATATCATTCCAGACATTTAAATCCTGTCTTATGTCTTATTTTCATGGAAAAAACAGTTGGGAAAATTAAAAAATGGTTGGGAGAATTTACCGTTAGAAGGTGTTGACCAGTGACGCCTTCAAAGAAAACCATAAATATCTTTGTGATTTGAGAATTTTTCAGGATTGTTTGCATGCAAGAGGGTTAGTACAGTAGAAGGAATAAAATAAGTAACATTTCATAACAAAATTACGCAGTTTTTTCATCAACCTTCAACTATTGTTGCCGGTTCACTTTAATATCAATATCAATCCTGGAAGAGAAGTACAAACCTGATAATCCCAATTCTTGGAGTGCCTTTCTCAGAGCCTCACGGCATGTCCCTATTTCATGATTATCTCTCCAACCTTTCAGGTGTTGTAGAAGCGATTTATTCCGTTCGTTTGTTATATCTATGCCAAGCCTTGAAGTGAGATCTTGCACAAGTTCACTAGGGATGTTTTCAACCAAGTTCTTCAGTTCTTCATCTGTAACTTTGATTACTGCAAAACAATACATTTAAATGACAACCACAAATAAAGGGGAACACTTTAAACGTGATTTATTTTGTTTTATTTCTCTGTAGGTGCAAAGTGTTTGAAGCAAGAATTTAAAATCACTAAATTAGAACAAGAAAAAAAAATCAATAAGTGAAACGTAAACTTCTGTAACATGGTAATTATTTGTTTTCTCTTAAAAGAGAATTCCCTGTAGAGAAGGATAAGCTGGATAACTGATTTTGCCGTCATTCACAATCATAACAAATGTATCTTAATTTGCAAGTATTTACCATCACTGCAATTACTGTCATTCAGCACTTCTTGGTAAATCGAGACAAGATCCTGCAGGTCACATGCTTTAGTATCACTCATCTGTTTGTCCCTCCAACCTCGCAGCCTCTCTTCAAGATCATCACTTTCCTCGTCAACCGGGATGCCAAGCTTCTCAAGAAACAAATGCATTGCATCTGATGGGAGATATTTCAGGAAGACCGCCAGATCGTCATCGAATACACTGCGGCTATCTGTAAGATCAGACGTTTTAAAAATTCCATCATCGACTTTGAATGGTTAAAGTGCGGGCCAGACATTATTTGTATCTACCGGAAAGACTTTCAAAGAGTTAGAATATTCAAAAAACATGTGGGTTTCTTGTAAATTACGAAGACATCCTATTAACACTTCTTTCTTTTTTACAGTAATTTTCTCTGTTTTGCGAAGGGCTCTCACTTCTTTGCTTTGCTGATATTACAGCAACAGTCGATCTAGTCGGGCCTTTGTGTGATGCTCAAATCACTACGTAAAAATATTAATAACGAAATCAATTAGTTTGTAGTGGATTAAATTGTTGGCTTAGCACATGCATATCAGATTTCTATATCACATATTATTAAGACATGTCCAAGAAACCTTTATTGTAATAAGAATGTTTTTTTTTCTTCCTAGAATAACTAAACCCTAAAAAGAAAAGAAAAAATGGTTGACCGATGTACTTACTGAAAGACTCGGCATCAGCATGTGGTCCTACTACTTCATTTCCTGTTTTAACCCGATAGTACGTTGTCTTGAAAACATCTGAAACACAGATAATAGTACCATGAACCATTTTTGCCCAATGTTAAAAACAGGGTACTTGCAAAAATGTACAGGCACTTGTGCAAAAAAATAGAAAAACTGAAATTAACATACTTAAACAATTACGATGAGCAGCTTCCTTTATGATCCAGAAACAAACAAAATGACAAAACAATTATATTTTTTTTCAACAAAATTGCCCAAATAATAACAAAAAGCATACAATTAATGTTTGATGAAATCGATCTATAAAAATTGCCGCTCAGACCCCACATAATTTTATGACGAAGGTACAAGCTACATATCCGCCCTTCCATTGAAAAGACAAGAGCATGCGCACAGGTACCTTGAAAATCTTGATATTTCTTTATCAGTGAGGTCTGACAAGCGCTGATTCAGAAATGAATTTGTTCACACAGGACCTTTGTAGTTATAATTATACATTTTTAAGTTTGCGAAACCTCAAAGTTTAAACAAAGATCCACTAACAATGACCAAGGTTCACAGCAGACGGAAAGGTTTTTAACTACTTTTTAAGTCGGAGATCATTCCTTTTAACTTCAAGTTTGGGTTACCTTGAAGTTTATTGCGTCTGCATAGCACATAGTATCGAGTGATCGAGGACCCCGCTACTCAAATTCATTGCTCGTGGTTATAACTTCAGGCAATCCATGAGTCTACTCTGCGATGACTGCAGCGGCGCCAATTGATAGCCTTTTTTCTCATGAATATAATATAATACAATACCTGTCATGTCATGGCGACCAATTTTGATGATAGCATCATCAAGCCTGCATCTCTTCTCGTAGTTGCTGCATTCATGTCCATCTACCCAGTCAATGATCATTCGACGAGTGTCAAAAAGATCTTTGTTGTTATCATCGATTACAGCTTTAATCCCATTCTTGTCGGCGATGCATTCAGCTGTAGCAAGCCTCGTGCAGTGTCTTCCTGTCAGTTTGTAGACGAACTGATCTACCTCTTGTGGGGATATCGCCTTCAGGAGTTCTTCAGGAACTATTACATTTTGAAAAATTGCTTAACGTAATTAATTCATATTGCTCTTACAAAATAACTTTTTAATATTGTACAAAGTGTTGCTGCCTACAGTTGTGGCTACAATACGGGGATGGAGGCACATGTTCCTCATTTGGTAAAGAAAGGATAACAAATGTATAAAGAGAGGAAATGAGAATTAAGAGGGCAAATGAACATCCACCCCACCTGCTAGATCCAACCTAGCTATGTCATAAGTTATTCAAATACAGTATAAGACAAATTAGTTTCCAAATTGCATTTTAAAAGGACAAATTAATTTTAGTTCAAGATTATCAATAGCTGCAATGCGCAATCACAACATTTATTGAATGCTCTAGCTTCTAAAAGTATTTATATTGTTCTCTCAAGTTGCCTCAAATATTCGATGATATGAAATAAAACTTACACAATTCGTAAATGATTTATATCCTTTAATCTATGATCTGAAAAATTTCTAACATTCAACATGTTTTAATAATTTTTTTTAAACACATTTTTTAACTACTCGACAGCAGCTGTCCATTATTAATTTTTGTATGATATATATTTTTTATTTATCATAATCCATCATAAATTCATGAATATGAAATATAGTCTAAAAATGTGTAAAAATGGGCCAGAAGATGTTTTCCCGAAATATATCGCAATTTGAAACCTTAGTTCACAAAACACTTACCCTGGAAGAAAGTCCTGTCAAGTGGTTTGCATGTAGCTCTTTCTAGGGCGAGACTCAACAGATAGTTTGGGTTTGCTGTCTTCATTCCGCCACGCCATCTTTCCAAATCCTTCTTGGCTTTAGTCGCAATGTTTCCTCTCTTTCCTGCCGATCTAGACAAAGTTACATTTCGGTCCGGGATGAGTTCAAGAAGAAAGCGATGAAGATCTCTTTCCTCACTTATGCTCCGTATAATGTGATCCAGTAGTTCTTCAGAAACCATTGCTGGTTTGTTTTGCAGGCGTACTTCAGTGTAATAAGGAAAAAATTCATGATCATTGATTTACGTCTTTGCTCCAAAGGTTAGATTGCCTTAATTTTTAAAAATAATATTTGTTATTTGTTATGCATACACTTGTTTTGAGAAGCTTCATATATTTAAAGCAGCTGTACAGTGTATCTTCAATTATCAATATCATGAATTCATAAACTGGATGTTGCAGTGCAACATTTCTGACAATACGATACAATCCAATGTGTATTTTTTTCTCTCTCTTTTAATGATATAATACTTCACATACACATTTTATATTTTAAAAAGACTTACTGTTCACAGGAGAAGAAAACGAAACTTACCGTTAAAAGCGTTCCATGGATCGCTAATTCCACATTTAGTTAAAATTCTCATCAGTGGAGGTCCTTCATTTTCAAGATTGTTAGTTTCTTTCCAGTCACAAAGTAAGCTATAGGCCCTATCTCGCGTTATCTGTTCTTCAACGCCAGTAATGCCTAGGCCGATGATTGCATTCGGCAGCTTTGCCAAATCAGACTCATCCATTTTTTTCACGAGACACCACAATTCATAGTAGGATATCTTTCCTGCAAAAAACCACAACAACAACAATTATATATCTTACGAACAGTGTTAAATCAGTGTCTATTTCATGAAAAGCTTTAAAAATTCAAGGTGAAATAATGCAATCGGTTCATTAAAAGGAATGAATTTCATTTTTAAGCCTGACGTATTAAGAGCCACGTACAACCATTTAGACTATTGGCTGTCATGGAGAGAATAGGGCTCCATTTTTTTGTGTGGTCCATGCACCTCTTCGCCCCCACCTACAAAACTTGAGTACCAGCTACGGTAATTTTGGGTGTTGAATTCAAATACAAATGTTGCAAAACGTAAAACTCACGCGTTGTCAAGATTAAGGCTTATATAATTACGCTATTGTTTTAAATGAAATATTGCAATGTTACATATAAAAATCAATATTACCCTACTAGCCCTATAATGCGATGTCTGAATGCTGAATAAATCACATTAATATTTAAACAAATCTGATTCAATTGGTTCATTCATCCAATTTATGTAATTTGTCTTTGGGTGTGCACTGGGGTATTTTCGGTGCTTAATTTAAATAGGAATGTTGCCAAGCATAATTACACATGCACACTTTCCCGATACTGAGGCTTTTTACCCCGATCTTAGCTGGCGGCCAATGTAACAGTCACCCCTTATGACTGTATATATTTTGTTACAACATTGTTTGATGATGCGCGCTCATATTGCTGAATCAACTTGTGCACTACAAGCCGTGCCTGTTCTCATTCTCATTCCCCTACATTTTGCAACATATTTTTCATTATCACTATTGATCATCCTTACATAATTTATTTTCTCAAATATCTATAGTAATCTTGAAATCTTAAATTCTAGGAGTTGCGGGTCATGCCTTTAGCTTTTGCACTTTGTAAAATTTAGGCCCTCGGTTAATGATGAAATGCTGCTTATTACTTTTTTTTAAAGGATAACAAGAAAATGTTGTTAAATTTTTCTCTGACGTTTAATGTTATCAAGCCAATGGACCATGTCACATTAATTACCAATTGATATCATTATTTATATTGATATACATCTTAGGTAAGCAACTTTTATAGAGTTTCACTGTATACTATATCTTCTTCACCACGTTTCAAAGTTTGATTGGGCCTGCATAATTCTGTGTCACTTCTAAAAAGGCCTGAATAATGAGTTGTGGGATATCCTTGTTTATTGTTTATTGTGTTGAACCTTGCATGGATAAGATACCACATGTTTTAAAGTTAAAGACCAGTTCTGATCATGCTATTGCATTGTGAAAGAAATGTTGTGGAATCGATCAGAAAAGGTTGATCATCATCTATTAACGATGGGGCAGCAGACTACATCATCTGTAGCAAACTGAATTTATTTATCAACAGTCTGTATTATATACCGGTATATATGTTGCCGCTCTAATAGCTAGAAACAATTTTTCAAAAAAGCTTTTAACCATTCCTCATCAGCTCCTCCCTCTTTTTGTTTAAAAAATTAATGAAAACCTCCAAGTCTGTATATTGATTTAAAAAATCTTAGTTTTTATCATGCCACCTGTGCTTTGCATATATATACTGTAAACAACGTTGAAAGAACAAGGCTGACGTGAAAGTATGACCGTGTTATTTCAGTGCTTGCTATGCATTAAATGTTTAAAAGCAGTTGTCTGTCATAATAACTTGTATGCAAGTGCGAAAACTCATTCTCTTGAATACAACCAGCTTATAAGAACATGAACTCTACGTACATCCATAAGCCATTAATTGACACAAAGGAATAGCAACAAAAACATCTTCTCAACCCTATTATGCATGATGCCCAGTACTTTGATGAGCTTTTCAATGGTACACATTCTTTAGAAATCAAGAGGTTTATTAAAGTGTAAAAGCCCATTCCTCGCTCCAAAACAGAAAATGTATGCGAAATTGAAAACTATTTGTATTTCCTTTCAACTTTTCACGATAGAAGTGAAAACTAACCTTCTATCTTTCCCTCTGAAGGCGACTGAGTGTGCACCATGGCGTATCTACCTGCATGGAAAAGTGATAATGAAAAATACATAAATTTAAATATCATCACGTGCAAAAAAAAGAAGAAGATATTTGCCCGTGTTAAATATAGTATGGCCCAATTTCTTTCACCTTATATACCATTTTGAATGACCAACTGGAATTTGAGTGGAACTGAATTTATGAATTTAAATTAGTACTTATTTACATAATCTGTTTATTCCATTTGACAGTACTCTCAATAATATTGTTCAGGTCAAATCTTCAATAGGTTGAGTTTTTTTTCCCTGTACAATGATTCATAGACACTATGAATATGACTGACAATGAAAGCGGACAAAATATACAGTTCCTCAGGTAGACAAAGGAACATCCCTTCACTGCTATTATGTAAAAAGGTGAATATGCATGTGACACCTGTTCTACACATTTTTACATAATAGCAGTGAAGGGATGTTCCTTTGTCTACCTGAGGAACTGTATATTTTGTCCGCTTTCATTGTCAGTCATGTTCATAGTGAGACCGTGTGTATCTTAAAAAATGATTAATTACTCATGACTACTAGACATTTCAATTTACAATAAGAAATTATACTGTTTTCATGAAATCATCATTAGAATTTAAGATAAGAAGCTATTTTCCTTTAAAATGAACTACAATCACAATAATATGAATTATTTTATAATACTAATCAAATCCTTTCATTGAAACATAAACAGGTAATGTAATTTATTACTTGTCAAACTTGTTATAATCTATGTCTTCTAAATTAATTTTTATTATTTATGATTATTGCATTATTAATTAATTGTTACTTGTTATTGATCTGGGTATCACTTTTTTTTTTACTGATTTTTTTATTTCTATTGTACGCTATTCGTAATTATATTTTTAATCAAAATTTGTGACTTGTGTGGTCGGGAAATGTTAAATTATACATCCTACAATTCACGTTGTAAACACGTTGTTATATAAAATCAAGGATAATTGTGATCTCATGCATATCCTCGTTTGTTTCTCAAGCCGTCCAGCCTTCCGGTTCAAATGCGTGTGGCTAAGACAATGCAAACAATCGGTACGCGCTAATGCACCCAGGGTTGCTTGGATACGGTATGACCAGCACAAATATACAGTCAGTACGCTGCTGCACGAAAACCGCCTGTATTTATCGTAGTCGTATGCAAGCCCAGTGGTCAATATGCATGTAAGATGAGCACACAAGCTTGAAAACACAGACATATTTCCACCTTTAAAAAACTTGTTAATCATTTTGCATGAATGATATGTCAAATTGAAAAGGAAAATCTGCTCTTTGACGGACGGACAACCCCAAAACATAATGCCTCCGTAATGGAGGCATAAACATGTGCTAATATATCTAATACATAAATATACCTTGACACCACTGTTGTTTCCTTCGATGCAGCATGATTGAAATACAGATCACAGCCAATAGAATGATGAATAAAACTGGTACAACTGTAGATAAATGAAAGATATTGTAAATAGACAGGAGCTTTTTTTGTACTCGTTTTCTCCTTGCGTGGACATTTGTGAATTAAGTCTTGATATCGGGGAAAAATCTGTATATTATCGTATGCCCTCCCCAGTCGTAAAAAAATAGGAAAAAAATAGTCCCGAAAATATTTTTTTTCTTCTATTTTTTCCCTATTTTTGTTAAAGGAAAAAATAGGGGAAAAATAATTTTGGAAATAGGAACAAAATAGGGTTGAAACAATTTTTTAAAATTTTTTTCCTATTTTTCAGACCTGAAAATAGGTAAGGTAATAGGTCAACGACTCTGTATATTCAACTAAATCATACAGTGCAAACTTGATATAAAGAGATCAGTTATACCTGAAATGACAAGTTAATTTACCAGCATTTGGGGGTTAAGATTTCTTGGTTGCACATGACCTCATTGTCAAAAGTTTCCACTGTAGAATAGTCACCCTACTCCTACAGCTCTTTTCTCTGCATCGATGCACCTATTCAGTTTGCCAAATTCACTTCATCCTCTCAGTCCAATCCATTCAGTAGAACATTTAAAATAGTCAATGGGTATATGGAAAATGTTATACAGTCCACTCCTATTATAACGAACATGGATACACCAAGATTTTATTATCAGGCAATTCTCATCAGTCCCAATTTTACACAAACCAATGCGTTCAGTAACTCGAGTATAACATGATTTCATTTTAACAAGGAAATTGGCTTGGTCCCGAGCACCTCGTTATAATGGCAGTGGACTGTAACAAACAAAAAGAATAAAAGGGAATGTGTCAAATAAAATACATGTACTTTATTTTCGAGAGGTAAACACATTGACATGAGTTTAGTATAGTATGTGTGTTCATATAAGCAAATAAATAACAGAACTAAACTGATATTTACAATCTTTGGTTAAGTACAGTAGTGTACATGTTAT